GTCAGCGGGGGTCAGCGGGGGGTCGGCGGGCAGGTGAGTGGGCAGGGCAGTGCGCAGGGTGCCCCGGCCGGCCAACTGCCAATCCCCACGCCTCCGACTCGGCGTCCCGATGACCTATTTCTCACTCTTGCCAATGACCCCTATGGGATCTTGCCCTCCGAGAGCCGGGCAGGTGCCAGCCTTCGCCTGGGCAGACAGTCTGGGCGGGTAGGGGCTCCACTGACCACCCAGCTCCCTCCTCACAGAACCGAGGCGAGAGGAATGGCTGCCTCGCCTTCCCAGGGCTGTTCTTGGCCCGGTTTTAAGTTCGGAGCCTCTGGGACCTTTTTCCATATCGTGTGCCTGTCTTTTTATTTGCCCAACACTCCCCTGTCCCCAGCTCCAAGGATCGTGGGCATGGCATCAGACTGGCAAGCTGGGACGCCAGTGCTGGGGGCCACTGCCCTCCCCGGCCCCTCCGTGCCCCTGGCCCTGCCCAGCCCCACCTGGCGGTGGATGAAGACCACGGAGCCCAGCAGCCTCCAGGTGCCGCCCTGGCGGTCCACGTGCAGCATCCGCAGGATCTGCAGGAAGCGGATGCCCCTGCAAAGGAGAGGCTGTGTCCCCATCGGGCGCGTCCCCACTGGACACACCTGTAGCCCTCGGTGCCTCCCCGGACCCCGGCCGTGAGCCCTCCCACTCACCGCGTGCACCCCCCGGCCCCCGACCCCCTCCTCAAGCATGGGGCAGGCCCGCATGTCCCTCACTCCCTGTCTCTAGGCCACCTTCAGTCAGATCACCCCAGTTTACAGGTGAGCAGACTGAGGTCCCTGGTGGTTAGGTCACAGCCTGAGTCCAGGAAGCAAGCGAGAGCTCGTGCTGGGTCTGGAACCCTGACTCTGCTCAGCTCGGGCCCCGAGTCCCATCCCCAGGCCCCTGCCCGCTGCCCACAGCTCCGGGGAGCCCAGCATACCTGATGGCCGAGGTGGCAAACACCTGCCCTTTGGATCCCACGCAGAGGACAACCATGGAGGCCACAACCACGATGAGGTCTGGGAGGCAGCGGATGTCCACCATCACCAGCCAGGCAGCTGGCTCAGCGGAAAGAGCCTGGCGGTGGGGCGGGACAGGGCCCCACAAAAGGACACAGGGAACCTCGGATGGGAGCCCCGGCCCCCCGTCTCAGGCACCTGTAGAACCCACCCAACCCCATCTCCCATCCCTGGCCCAAGGGCGCTGAGGGTGCCGGACACCCATGCTGTGTCCAGCTCCCCCCAAACCCTGTCCTGGGAGCAGCATCTAAGGCAGGGAACCAGGCACTGAGGCTAGCTCTTGCCCTGGGGGACCTGGAAGGGCACCCCACTGGCCTTGGGGTCCTCCCTGTCACAGGTAAAGCAGCCTGGGGGTCTTGCAGTCCTCGGGGACTCTGCCTCGGGGTGCTGGCGATGGGTGGGGTTCTTCCCTGCCAGAGCCGCCCTCCCCAGGGCGCAGGTGGCCAGTGCTCCCTGGGAACCTCAGACAAGACTCACCGATGATGGAAATGGGCTTCCGGGCAAAGCGCAGCCGCCCCCAGATGCCCACGTACTTGCTGCGGCAGCCGGCTGACCAGAGGCGGACCACATACTCTGTCCCGAAGAACACGACCAGGACAATCTCCTATGGGCAGAGGACCGTGAGCTCACCTCGAGACTGGGCTCTGCCCCAGACCCGCCACGCCGACGGGCAGTCCCTGGCACTGGGAGCCTCAGCCATGGTACACCCAACAGCAACTGGCCTGTGTCCCGGTCCGCTGGGGGGGCGGGCTCCCCGGAGTGCCCACCTGGCCGTGCCCCAGCCCAGGTCCACCGGCAGCAGATGCCCGGCAAGGCCCGCTGCTCCCAGACCAGGGCCCTTCCAGGCCCAGGGGACGTGCACCCCCGGGCTTGGGAGCGGCTCTGGGTCTGGTGCCCTCGCCTGGCCCAAGAAACATGCCACCCTGTGCATGGCAGGTGTCTCCAGTCAGTGATCATTTAAAGCGTGGAGCCCCAAAGCTCAGGCTGTGCACCCCAACTTGGGGTTTAGAGAGTGTCCATCCTGTGGGACTGTCACTCCTTCCCCGTCACAGCCGCCAGGATGCAGTGTCCAGGGTCACCTGGCAGCCTTCACAGGGCTCAAGTGACACAGCCGCTCAGACGGGGAAATGGGCCACAGCGGGGACAGTGGGGACAGCGGAGTGGGGCCAGAGGGCTTCACTGACACTGTCCCGAAAGGAGGGGCACGGACAACGTTGGCTGTGACGGGTCGCTCGGGAGACCCCTGCCATCGCCACAGGCCAGTCTGTAGTCGGGGGACCTGGTGGGAAGCTGGAGGGCCGAGGGCTAGCATCTGGATTACAGTGGACGGATGCACAGCGGACAGACAGACGGATGGAGGGATGAAGGGAGGGAGGGGTGAGTAGAAAGACCAGCGAAGACAGGCGGTGTAACATCAAATTCAAAAGGAAGGTGCCGTACGCCGGGAAAACGGGACAACCGGGAAGAAACGGGCAAGTTCCTAGAAACACAAAACCCACCAAGACTAGGCCACAAAGAAGCAGGAAATCTGAACGTGCTGAAGCCAGCAAGGAGCCTGAGCCAGGAATCAAAGCCTCCCGGCGAAGGAGAGCCCCGGACCCGAGGCTTCACGGGTGGATCTCCCCAAACACTTAGGGACCACACACCAGTCCTCCGCACACTTTCCCCAAAAACTAAGAGGAGGGAACAGCTTCCAGCTCGTTCTAGGAGGCCAGCAGCGCCCTGAGACCAAAGCCAAGCAGAGGAGCCACAGGGAAAAAGAAAACCACACACACACACACAAAACACGGATGCAAAAAATCTCCACTAAAACCCAGGCAAGGGAGTTCCGCAGCACACGGAGCCGATTACACAGTGACCAAGGGGACTCGTTCTTGGAATGCAAGGACGGTTCCGCACATGAGGGGCCATCGCTACATCACGCCAGCGAATGAAGGAAAGAAACGCACGTGACCTCAACCGGCTCGGAGAAGGCATCTGACACAACCCCACACCCTTTCGGGGGAGAAGCACCCCACGCACCGGGAAGGGAAGGGAAGAACTGCCCCCGTGTCACAGGAGTCGCGAGAAAAACCCACGTCCAACCTCAGGTCAGCGGGAAAACGTGGGCGCTTTCCCCGTAAGGTCGGGGGCAAGGCGGGGGCGCCCACTCTCTCCGCGCCTGTTAAACAGGGTCCTG